AGCCTACGTCTGTTGCCTCTCTTCCCTGTTTCCAGGCTGCCTTGGCTGCCTTGCCACTTAAGTTTCATTTCCAAATTTTGGTTTCCTTTCCTAAAAGATGACTGCCTTATGTGTGAGTCATAAGCCATAAATAGTGATCGTGTGTGCTGAGGCCCAACTGAGGGGCAGCAGGGCAACTGCTGTGCCAGGGCATGGACCCATCGCTGGGGCACTCTTGGTCCAGCCATCTTGCCCCGCTTCTGGAACCAGGTGACCTTTCCTCTCTGGCCATGCTTGCCTGTCCTGGAGTCTTCCGGGCCTGGTGGCTGAGATTGAGCTATGTAGTGAAGAAACATGTGGGTGGATTGGGGTAGAAGTCAGGGCTGGAGACAGGTGTCAGGAAACCAGGTGCGGAGTAGGATTGAGTGGTTGCAGCTGAACAATGGCTTGTTTACACAACATTTATCTTGCCTGTGCCCAGCTCTTGTGTGTTCTCAACTTAAAAAATATAAAGAGTCATTGTAGAGATACAAATATGGAGGAAAGACCTTTGTAAGAATCGGCCAGGGAGCTGTGAATCAGATATGTCAAGGTTTAATATGCTATTTCCCAACTTTTCACATAGGTGGTAAAAATTTATATTTTTATTAATAATTTCAGCAGCAACAGCATTTAGTACTATAACTATTACCACCATATCCATTGTTTATTGAGTACCTACTATTTGTCCGGTGCTGTCCTATGTATTTTATTTATATTATCATTAATCTTTATAATCCTAGGTGATAGCAGTTATTTTCCTTATTTTACAAATGTTATAAAAAAATTGAGGTGTAGAGCAATTAAGCCACTTAGACAGGGTTATACAGCTAAGAAGTTACAGAATCAGACTTTGAATCCAGGTCTACCTGGCTCCAAACTATGAAAGTTTTTATTTTTATTTGAAAATGAATTTTTAAAATGAAATCATGTTCAAATTTCTTTTCCCTACATAGGAGTATGAATGACATGTTTATGCCCATGTTCTGGAAAAATATATTGCTTTTTAAATAGATTCTCTTGGCAATATTTGGATTTAAAGTTTCTGTTGAATTTTATTTAATCTGGCACCAGATTTTAAAACCTTAATACAGTGTTTTAACTTTTCAGGTTGTATACTTATTTTGAGGTAGTTTCAGAGTGAGTAAGCTTAATTCAATAATTACTTGTTGAGGTTAATGTTTTATTTGTCATAAGATTTAATGTTGAAGGCTAAGGCATTTGCTGGATAATTTCCCTTTATTGGCAGGGGAGGTAATGTGCAAATAATTTAGGAATTTTCTACAGAAGAAAGCAGCCATTGTGTCTTTCTGTGTATGAGTATTTGAACAGGATTTATACTTCATTGCAAAACTTACCCATGATTATGTCTTGTGTTTTTTTAAATAAAACAATACATACATATTCTAGAAAATTGTTAAATTACACAGAAGAAAAAAAGAAAAAGTATCATGCATAATCCTACCAAAAAGAAAACATTAATAGAGTGGTGTATTTGATAAATCTTTTTACTACTAAAGTTTACATATTTATATGTAATTTACCAATCTACCTTGAATTTTATTGTAGGGTGTCAAGCCTCATGTTTCTGACAAGACAGAGGTGAGCCTAAACCTAATTCCTTAATTTCCAATATGACAAATAAACAATGTCCCTGTTAGAAATATATAAGCTTAGTTTGCATCAAGGCAAATTCTCAATCAATTTATATCTATTGTTGGGAAAATTCACAAGACTCTTGACGTACACTAGGTTTATGTGTTAAAACTCCCAAGACCACGATCAAATTTCTGCCAAGAAAGTTTAATTTTTAAAAATATGAATGTGTCTCTGTTCAAAATTAAACATCATTTTTTGATTCTAAGATTAGATAGCTTGACAGATGGTTAAAAGAGCAGTAGTCTAAGAAATATGATTTACAATAAATCTTTCAAGAGATGAGTTTAATTGACTGCCAAAAAGCTTCTCAAATAACTCCCCAGGCTTATATTCCAACCTCTCCAAGAGACATTTGCAATATTTTTTTGAATAGATTTTATTTTTTAGAGCAATTTTAGGTTCACAGCAACACTGAGCAGAAAGTACAGCGTTCCCATACATCCCCTGACCCCCAACACACACAGCCTCCCCTGCTATAGACATCTGGCACCGACATGGTATGTTTGTTACAACTGATGAATCTACATGGAAGAGTCAATGTTACCCAAAGTCCATAGTTAACATTAGGGTTCACTTTTGGTGCGGTACATTCTATGGATCTGGACAAATGCGTGATGGTGTGTACTCACCATTACAGTATTGTATGGAGTAGTTTTACTACCCTAACAATATTCTGTGCTCTGCCTATTTATCCTTCTCTCCCCGCTAACACTTGGCAACCACTGATCTTTTCACTGTCTTGCAATCTTTTTAAGGGAACCTTCTATGTCATTTAACTGGGAAACTTTTCTAAGTGGTTTTCTAAGAGCTGACGTAACAGTCTTTGATAAGACGGCATAGAACTGTATTTCAATGCCCAGGGCCTTCTTGCTTCAAAGCAAAAAGTGTGAAATGCTGCAATATGGGGATGTGGTTGTAATTTGGATTATTCTCCTTATAGGATACATTTTTATAAGGAATATAATATCTGTTCCCACTTCATGCAGCCCAGGATTTGCAGCAAATGTGATTGTGCCAAATTGGTTTGTAGGTCACAGTGGCCAGCAAAGCCACAAATGTCCCATAGCTAGACGTTTAGAAAGATGCCCTGTGTATGATGGGTTATTTTCCCATGGCCAGGGAGCATATTATCTTCTGTAATAACAGTAAAGTTACTTTCTGTGAACTGGGGAATTAGGAAAAAGCATAAAATGTATTGCTTCTTAATCATGTAGCAGTCAGTCTAGGCTCATTTTGGGACAGAATATTTAAGACAACAATATTAGTTTGTCATGAATTATTCAGAGTGGTTTAACGCTTTATATATATATTTTAACTGTTTTTGGGAAATAATTTCAAACTTACAAACAGGTTGCAAGAATATAATTAGTACAAAGAACATCCAAACACTTTTTACCCAGATTCACCTACTAACATTTTACTCCATTTGCTTTAGCCTTTATGTATATAGTGTCTCTCCTCTATATAATATATAAAAAATATATGTATATATTATAATAATGATATAATATATAATCATATAATAAATATAATTGTATAATAAATTAATTATAAATAAATATAATAAATAAATAAATGTAATATTATATAAATATATAATCTTTAGCCAGGTATGATGGGGTAACAAGATGTCTAGGATAGACAAGGAATTGAGGGATGAGAAGGGCATACTCATTTTAAACAACAAGTGTGTGTGTATGTAGAAATTAGGTTTTGGTAAATTTTATGTTTCCCATTGATCTATTGTTTCAAGGATTTTTTTTTTTAACCTTTGTTTGATTGCTGTTGAATTGGCGGCATCACCAACTAAGCTGCACATAGATGACTATTAGTACAGATATAAAATATTTATATCATAGCAGAAAGCTCTGTTGGATAGCACTGACCAAGCTGAAAAAAACAAGGGACTCAAAGTCACTGAAAGGCAGTAGGATCAACTCCTGACTCAAACTTGTAACTGTGCTACCCTGTTCAAGTCAAGTGATAAGATCTTTCTGAACCTCACATCTCATCTGCAAAATGAAGATAAAAATAGCAACTACCTCATGGACTGCTGAGCAGAGGAAATAAGATAACATGTGTAAAGTGGCAGAGTGCCTAAAACATACAGTAACTTGAAAATATTAGTTAAATTTGAGTTTAAATTAACCCAATTCTATAAGCCTGAAAGGCAAAGAAGATCTTGTTATTTTTCTTAAATCTAATGGGTAAGTTTTCAAAGATACCTATTTTATAAAAGTGAAGACTTTGGTTTACTTTTAGTTGAAAACAGCATTCACAGGGAGATGGCAAATACCTGGATTTTAATTACTTACTGATTTATTTGTCCTCTCTACGTTTAAACCCTGGCCTTGTCTAGTCTTGCCCAGCTCAGTAAAATGGCACTGCCATCCACAAACCTTATGAGTCCTCATCCTCTCATCCATCTCCTTCATGCAATCTCTTTGCCTGCACAATGTTGTAAAATCTACCTTCAAAACACTTCATGTCATCCTTTCTCCTCGCGTCCCCTCCACAGGGGGACCATCCAGGATTGTGTCACTCACCTGCAGAAACCCTTCCATGGCTTCCCACTGAAGCCGCCATATACGACTGTACTAGTTGTTAATAGAACAACTCTAGCGAACAGGTGCTGTGGTATAGATAAATAAGGGCACATTTAACCTTATATGCGATCCTATCATTACAGTTTCTAGGTATATGAAGTAGGTAGATAAAATTTTGTGGCGTCAGAGAAAAGTTTTTGGAAAGACCGGAGTTACTAAGGCATGCACTTAAAAGAAATGGCTGCGTGGAGCATGTGGGTACTTCGCTTTAAGAGGCAGGGGTTTTAGAGAAAGCAGGTGTGCCGGGCAGCATCGCCTAAAGCAGAGGAGCAAACAAACGTCTACGCGGACGCTTTCTGGCATTTAAATCCAAAGCCTTTCTTCCTCGTTCTTCGATTCCCTGGGGAGGCCTGTCAGGGGCAAGGGGAAGGGGGGAGGGCTTCCTTCCATTCTTCCAGTCTCCCTAAGAACTTAGTAGACAGCGGAGCAGTCCTTTCCCAAGGCTCGCGCGAGGCAGAAGAGTCAGGAAAGGCGCCCCACGCGCACCCGAACGCGTCCCGAGCGCGCGTCCCGGCCCCGCAGCTGAGGAACGAGCCCCACCGCAGGCTGTCGGTTGGGTGTGGCCTCCGCTCAAGGCCCCGCCCCCCGAGTGCGTCGCGCGGGGCGGGAGGGGCGGGGCGAGGGAACTGGCGAGAAAGGGCGGGGAGCGAGCGGGGTGGGTGTGCTCGTGCCCGCGCGCTCGCGCCTGGCGTGTGCGCCGGGGCGCGCCCGTGCACGCGCAGGGGAGCGGCCGGCACAGGCGGCAGTTGTCGGGTTCGACTGGAGCGGCGGAGGAGTCACCTGCGAGCGGCTGCCCTGGCAGCCCGCCCGCCCGCCGCGTCCGGATCGCGCTGGCTGCGCGGGGCCGCGGACCGCACACACCCTGGGAGGCCCGGGCGGGGGAGCAGGCAGAGCCAGTGCCCGGCTTCCGCGACGAGGAGGAATCGGACCTTCGCCGCCGGCGTCCGCGCCCGTCTGGGTATGTGAAGCCCGAGTTGGTGGCCGGCCGGCTCCTGGCGTGCGGGGAGGGGAGAAGCGAAACTTTCCGGGCGCTTCCTCCCGCGGTCCCGGGGCCGTCGCGGCGCCGGGAGGTGTCGTCGTCGCGGGCGGCGGCGGCCGACGCCATGTTGGGGTCTGTGAGAAACGGGGCGCTCCCGGGTCGGTCCCCTCGCTCCGGGCCGGCCCGCGAGCAGGTCGCCGCCGCGGTCCCGCCTGGCCCGCCGGCCCCGGAGCGAGCCGCGCCCGGCCCAGGACGGCGCCACCGGGGGAGTGTAGGACCGCCCGGGAGGGGAACCCGGAGGTCGGGCGAGAAGTCGCGGGGCTAGAGGACTGGCCACGACGCCAGTGGCGTCTCCGGGCCCCAACATGTTTCTGTCGGAAAAGTTTGCAGGGTGTGCGCATCAGGGACGTTGTAACTTGAACAGCATATTTTTATGTGACTGGGGGGGGGGCGTGAAATGGCACCGCAGAATTTGCTATAATAGAAGCAATGGTTTGTATATTTGGAATATTTAAGTTTTATGGTCCTTTGCCTAATGTGTTTTTCTTTTAAAAAATGTTATTAAAGGCTGAGAGCTCGCTGCTCATGTTACTTGAATAGCCTGTGTGCTCTTAGCACATTACAGCAATAACTTGTGTGAATGTGCAATGAAAATGAGTGGTATGAAGGTTACTGATACCCAAGCCCTTCTCCATAATTCATAGACTCCCAAAGTACGTTGAGTTGATAAATGCCTTCTTTGTCGTGTTTTAGTACACTGCTGAAGAGGCTCATTAAGGAAAGATTGAAACATAAACGTGGACTGAGAGACTTAAAAGCATGTGTTGTTCTTTTAAGAATAAGGTGAAGTGATCTTGACATTTCCAAGTTTTTTTCCTCCCTTTGGCGGCTTAAAGTTGCATGCCTACCAGTGTTTTGAGCATTTACCTTTTTTTTTGTACTCCGGTAACTCATGGGGTCCTCACATTAATTCATTATTAATGAGGGCTTCTAATTTTTAATCTGTTTGGGTCCTGGCAGCAAGGGAGGTGAATAATGTTAACTATGTACTTGGAAAGCACATGTAATCGCTTCAACAAAACAAAACAAAACAAACAAACAAACAAACAAAAAAACCCCACAAAAGTGGTGTACTGACTACCGCATAGAAAGAAAAGATTCAGCTTGAATTACTCCAGTAAATGAATATAAATTATTTTTTAAAAAGACATCTTAGCCTTAAAATTCTGCTAAATAAACTGAAAAGGCTCTTAACCACAAATACTATTACCCCTAAAACATCTTGGAGACTTTCTCTTTTTACTCTTTAGAGGTAAAAATATAGCTTCTGTTCAGATTTGCTTACCAATTTCCTCAGTTCTTAAAAATTCTTTTAGTTTTGCTTCATTGTCAAGTAAATGTCATTATACATATTTATTTTTATTTAGAGTTATTATTTAGAGTTTTATTTAGTTATTTAGAAATGAGGTGACTTAACCCACTTCACAAATCTTGCAGCCAAGCTAGTATTTAACTGAGGTCTTACGATTCTGAAGCCTTCTTATTTTCCAATAGCATAACTTTTTAGGATACATAACTCAGTCCTATGGAGCAATGTCTGTCCATATTGTTTGCTCTTATCGTTGTTCTTTCTGATTTGAATTTAGTTTTTCAGTATAAATACTTGTTTCCTAGAGAGCTGATTTACAAGTGTTCTTGTAATGAAATTTTTCTTATAATGAAATTTTTCCTCTTTAAAATGCTAAGTCTACATTCTTTGAAGACTTTTCTGCCCTGTTCTCTTACCCCACTCCCTTTTTCTCCCCAGGAATCAATTAATTTCTCCCATGATATTCCCATAATTATTGTATAGATCTGTCAAGGCACCTCTTTGGCAGCAGGCAACACATTGGATCTCTAGCATGCCAAGAACATAGCAGATGCTCAGGAAAGGTTTGAATGGATGAATGCACATGTTTGTTTCTTGTAAATATGCATCATGAATTTTGTATTAAATTGTAATTTCCATGGGCATAGTACTGAAATCTCTGTAGTCTTTTTTCCCAGTACATGCCACAAACTCTATTAAATCCACAGATTGGTTGATTGTATTTTTTTTTTTAGAATTTATCTTAGTAACTCAATGAATTTTGGCCCGGGAGTACAGAACTTGAATATTTATGAAATTACCAAGTAGATGGTGGACTAATAATTAGTGATGAATGAGAGAGAAACTGTGGATCAACAAAAGGATTTTATCATACTTTTAAGTATAATTGATTTATTTGCACTTGATGGAAATAAATTAATGCCTGAAAATTTTGAAGGTTGTGTTTATACATTTAAACTCTTTGGTAGAGCAAATCTCATTATTGCTCTATCCATTACTGGGTTGTCAGAATTGTATTGTCTTAGAATTTTGTTTTAGAATGCCCTGCTTAATAGAAAGTATATAAAATTGCTTTTCTATTGATAAGTTTATCTTTGATGAACCAGCTTTGTATGTGAGTTGTCTGCTTAATAGCAATGTGTGTGTTGGTTTATCTGAATAAAAAAATACCTCATAGGTATGCTTTTACAGTGCTAATCTAAGTTGCAAAATTTCTCTAGGTTACAGTGTTCTGTACTGTAGAATTTGGGGTTAATTTCCTGCCCTCACTCAAGATAACTTTCTCCCTAGTCAATCTATAAACCACAAAGGACTGTGGTCAATTTCGGGAGGTCCTGGGAAGAGAAGGCATTCAAATAGTTACTGTGAGTGTACTGGAAAGAAAGCAAGTTGCATGTAGAGTGGACTGGAACAAATTAAACAAATCATGAGTTCTGGCTCTCTGCTCCTTGCTAGCCTGTGACTCTTTAACAAGCCCCTTCACTTCTCCAAGCTTCACAGGACTCATTTGTGAAGATGGACGCAGATATATTTGCCTCACAGTGTTGTTGGGAAAATTCACTAAGATGTTTGTGGAAATGCCTGGTACATGATAGTATTATTTTAATAAATGAACAGAGTGGCAGTGAATTATATAGAATCATAGAATTTATAAATGAGAAGCAGCCTTTAGAAATACCTAGTTCAGTTCTCAACCTTAGCTGCACATAAGAATCTCCTGAGGAGTTTCTTAAAAATATTGGTGCCTGGAATCCACCCCAGAACACATAAATCAGAATTATAGGGTTTGGGGGCAGGGCATAGGTAGTTTTGTCTTTTTTTTTTTTTTTTTTTAAGTACCCATGATTTAAATGTGTAGTCAGGTGTAGAGCCTTTGATTTAATTCAATCTCCCATCTCCTTTTTATTCTCTTCGTTTTGTGGTTGAATAAAATGCAGAGAGGTTAATTGCTAGCCAAATTCCCATCAGTCAGGCTAGAAAGGATTTATTTACAGCTGAGGAAAGTGAAGTACATAGAGGTTAAGTAACAGTTACATTCATTTCTGGCCAGAAAGGCCACATTTGGAACTACAGTTCACTAACTCCAGTGACCTTCACCTCTACTCTATATTAACAGCCTATATGTATGGCTGTCATTTAACCTTGCCATCATTTAGAACCACTCTACCTCAAGTCTTAAACCCTTAGGCCAGATGGTGATTGCAAGGGCCTGTTTTCTATTTCTCTTTTCTGTCATACATGGTGAAGCAGCTTTTTGTCTTTACTGTCCCCTCCAGTCCCTCTCAGGCCATTAGTCTTCTTCCTTTCCAACTTTGAACTCTGTAGTTCATATTCTAACCATGAACTCACTAGTGCTATATAATCCTTCTTCTTCACCTTTGCTCAGTATAACTGGTCAATTCTCAACTTGTGAATAATATGGTTTACTATCTGTACTTTTGTCCCTCTCCCACATCCCCCTAAAAAAGTCATTCTGTGGTGATTGTTATATATTTGTTTTCCACCTCATTATGTATTAGTGGCTTTCTAATCCTTTTCTCATCAAATGAATTGATTCATTTTTCTCTTTTTCCCCTTCCCTCTCCCTTCCTCACCCCGCACCCCCAGGGGTAGAGTGCAGTGGTGTCCTCATAGCTCACTGCTCAAGCTATACTTCCTCAGCCTCCTGAGTAGCTGGGACTACAGGTGTGCACCACCATGACCAGCTAATTTTTTCATTTTTAGTAGAGACAGGGTTTTGCTCTTGCTCAGACTGGTCACCATGCCTGGCTTGATTCATTTTGTTTATTGCTTTTTCACACTATTCAGGTTACTTATCTTAATCTTGAAACACTTGACTCTTAGCAGATAACCTTGCTTCCTTCTGAAATGATTAAGAGTTTTTGATAAGAAATTTCTATTTTCTTCTTTGCATCAACTTCTGCATCTTTTTTTCCCTATCTTTAATTCTATACTTGTTTCATTTAAATAATGGGGAAAAATCAAAAAGATTTTTGTGTTCTTTGTTCATATTTTTATTAATTGTGTATATAACTGGTTTGCTTTTTACATTTATATTTTTCTACACATTCTTTGCATTTTGTTCCTAAATTCACTATAAAGACCTAGGCAGTATCAAAGTATTATCACTCTAATATTTAGAGGCAATAACCAGTACTAACTTTTTGGTGTGTGTCTTTCCACTTTAAAAAAAAACAAATAGGTTTATACTATATGTGCTGTTTGGGAACTTTTATTTAATAAAATGCCTTATTTGACAATTTTCCACATTAAATATTAATTTATGTTCTCTAAAAAAGCTGCCTAAAAATCCATGGATGTACCATAATTTATTTAATCAGTCTCTTATTATTGAACATTTATGTTATTTCCACCTTTTCAGTATTATAAACAGAGCTAGTGTGAACTTCATGGGAACTTTGTACACTGTTCTAATTATTTTTTATATACCTGGAAATGGAATTGTTGTGTAAACTTTCTAAAGTGCTTATATTGCCAAAATAGCATTTAGAAATGTTGTTCCAGTGTATACTGTCAAGGATGTGAGTGCCCATTTTTTCCATATCTTAGAGGGGTGACTAATATATTTAATTTTTATTTCTTTGATTAG